TAGTTATGTGGTCAATTTTATTAGAAAGTGGGATTCAAATCCCAGAAGTTGAGGTCTTATGGCCCGAGCCAGCCTCAGAACCTAAGTCTAAATTGGGAACTAAAAGTTAGTGCCCCGAACCTAGCTAGTGCAATGCGGATCTGGTCTTACCCCGGCCTGGATTGGGGAGCCAGCTAAACCACCTAAACGATTTAAAATATGAGTCCGGTCTTTTTGTAGAGTGGTAGGGACGTTTATTAGAAAAGTTTGAAGAGTTGGGGCGACATCTAGAGCGGATCCTAATTCACCCCTTAGACTTATGTTGGGTTTTCAATGTCTAAATAAATGCAATTAAATATTAGACTCTTTTAAATTTTCACTATGCGATGCATTGCTATTGACTCGATTAAATGCAAATTTGTATGTAGCAGATTAAAAATCTTTTTTGGCTTAAGAAAATAGGTTTTATCTAGAGATTGGCATAAACATCCCTTGACAGATTCGGCACCTCATAGCGCCAGGCGGGACTCTGCCAGGACCCGCAGGCGGGGAATTGGCCTAACAAGAAGAGAAGTTTTTAATATGTGTATGCCTGAAAAAACCCGTCGCGAGTCTAGCTTACTTGCTTATTGGACCGTTAGGTTTCTCTATATCTATAAATTTTTTATTTAATTGAAGTAAATAGAATTTTTGGACAACGCTAAAGAGCCTAAATCGAATTCCAGGTCAATCCAAATACGACATGTCAAATAAATGACTAGAAAAGCAGGAAGTTCTAATGTGGCAACTCATTATAGAATATAAATCAATCAAATTTAGTATAATCAAATTGAATGTCCGTAGGCAAGTGCCCTTATTATTACATCACAGAAATTGCAGTAAGTAAATTGCCGGGCACCACACCTCCGAATAGAAGCAACCTCTGCACCGACACAACCCCACAGAATTGCCAATCATACTGCGAGACATATCAACGCCTGTAGACTTTACAATTTGGCAGATATCTCTCATATAATACATACACATCTTCTTGTCGTCGCTTCCGGATACCAAATGAAAAGAAAAACTCCCCACTAACGGCGGCGTGTTATATTTTCCTCTTTGGATATTTGAAAGCCGATCCTTTAATTTGACTTCCTCAAATCTCTCTCTTTTGACGAGGGCTGGACGGCGGACGCAACAGCTGGACGAGGGCTGGACGGCGGACGCAACAGCTGGACGAGGGCTGGACGGCGGACGCAACAGCTGGACGAGGGCTGGACGGCGGACGCAACAGCTGGACGAGGGCTGGACGGCGGACGCAACAGCTGGACGAGGCAAGGGCGACGACTAGGATAGCCTTTGTGCCGCGAGAGGCGAGAGCTGCTTTCTGAAGCGGCGGTGAAGTCAGAGTGCCAAAAAAACCATGGAAGTAGGTAGAACAGGCCAAACCTACCTAAAACTGCATGACGTTGACGTATAATCTACCTTGAAGACATAGTTGTTATTTTTAAAAACTAATTTTATTATTAAAATATTTATATTACAATGGCAGAGTCAGAAATTATTAAATGAGGGCCTAGCCTAAACTCTACAAGAAAAAACATCAATTACCTACGCAATTTTCTAACAAACAATTTTCCGGTGATTTTTCGATGATAAATTATAAAATTATTAGATCTTATTTTTTATGTAAATAATGCTAATTTTCTTATGCAAACTGATCCTTCACTCTTAAATTTGCTTTAAAATGAGTTCAACATATAAAAAATTTCAATTAAAATGTATATTACACATCTCAAAATAAATAAAATACTTTTAAGATCCATTTTGACAAAAAATTGATCAATAAATTATGTAACTATTTTTTTATGAATATATTACATACAATAAAAATTGTGACGGAATGATTATAATTTGTACCTCTAGTTTTTAATTTTCTTGTAAAAAATTTAATTTAATCTCTTCTACACTTAAAAGCCAAGAAATAAATTTTTTTTATGGGTAATAAAACTAGTTTAAAAAAAAAACAACTAGGTCTTCAAAGTAGATTATACATCAACATCAAGCGTTTAGGTTGGTTTCATGCTTGCAGTTCCTTGCACCGTCTTCCATGCCATTTTTGGAGCAGTTAAAGATCAAGAAATAATACTAGGCTGGAAAGCTGAAAGGAGCTTTCAGATCCAAATTATTTGCACCCCGCAAGCAATTCGTGAATGCCATCTACTCCGGGTCTCCATAAAACACGCCAACACGATAGATGATAGCATCAAGACCGAACCTGTCGGAACATCTAAGGAAAAAAATTACGATCATAAAAGCACTTTCGGATCAAATTCAGTGAGGGATATGCTAAGCCGGCTAGAATATTGACGAAAAACCTACCCAAAAGTAATGAAACCACATGTTTAACCTTTCTTTCTACCACTACAGCAGGCCTACTTCATTTATTTATTTATTTTTTTCAAAATTTAATATAGCAAATCATCCGTTTAACAGACAACTTATTATAGTAATATTTTTTTTAAATAAGTCACCTATTAGTTCGAAACTGACATATGACTAAGCAAGTCTGAGTCAGCATAAATCACCCACTTGAGGGACGACTTTGTGTAGAAAAGAATAGGATGAGAGAAGATCTTGAATAAAGGCAGAGGTGAGAAACATAGAGAAGGCATCTCGAGCAGCAGCCGGCGGTGGCCGCCCACAAATCCTAATGTTGACTTGGCGTAGGTGAGTTTAGGCCAAGTTGAGGAGGTTACCCCAACCATGGATCCACACACATGGCATGAAATAAATTACCACAATCCCGTAAAAGCCTTAATATGCCTTATCCTACCCTTCCTCATCTTCATAGTGGACAAGGCATATCAAGCATTACATGATTGGAGTTGAATGAATACTCTAACTGGTATGTAAATGCTGTAATAAAATAGTTAATAATTAATGCAAGGCAGTTATGAACGTCAAGTCGGTTTGGGTTGGTTTCATGCTTACAGTTCCTTGCACCCTCTTCCATGCCATTTTTTGGCGCAGTTAAAGAGCAAGAAATAATATTAGGCTGGAAAGCTGAAAGAAGATAATATTTGGATGAATCATATTCTGGTATGCATGTAGAATTTAGATAAATAAAATTATGATGTAAAATTTGAATTATTTCAAAAATAAATCATTACAAGTTGAACTAAATTAATTGAATGTATTAGATATACTTTTGTTGGCTAACTGCATACCATTAATTATTGTTAAATGCAAAATTTATTGACAAAAAGGCAGAATATGAGGTGGAGGGAAAATTATCAAAATATCCCTACACCTACATTTGTAACCCCCCTACATCTCATATTTTTCCCTTTTCCCTAGCCGATCCGGTTCATGCATGATTTCCTAAATCGCGAGCAGCTTTCCTTGTATGGACATATGAATCAACTCTAAAAAAAACAATAATTTTTATAACAAATTGCTAGTTTGATACTCAAACACTAATGTAATTGATCTTTGAAAATTTTGCGGCTCAAAAATTCCGTCGGCAATTGATGGGCGAAACTATCCGGTGGATGATCCACTCACAATTATGACAGAATTTTTTTGTTGGAGATTCCGACAAATAAAACACAGGAATTCTGTCCACGTAAACGACATCTTGGTTGTGTTTATCCGCCGGTACCGGCGATTTTTTTTTCGACAGAACAAAATTTGCAAAGCATGAACAAAATTTGCTACGCAATACCATCGAATAACTTTTCGACAGAAATATGCCAGAAACTGAATTATACCAGCGAAAATTCATGTTTGCGGCGTATTTTGTCCACCGATAACGACCGCTTTTCGTGAAGTGACAGCTTGTCATCTTGAACCAATGACTGAGTTTCTTATGATTGTTCTTCATTTACGTTCATTCATGAGCGAGTATACCAATGAGTTCGCCATAGTCCAACAACTTATGTGAATCGGTCATGATGACAATTCTAGTATTGTTACTGACTTGATCAGAACACAATTTTGTTTGGGTGTATGCCTAAATCAAGACCTCATGCTTATAACATGACGAAAGAAAACCACCAACTTATTTCCCCTGCTCCGTGGCAACCCATCGATTGGTGCCCTAGATCTTCACTCATACTCGATCGAGGGGCGCATATAAGCCAAAAGAATGCCTCGATCACCCAATAAATGTAGAACTACTAATTCCATCCTGCATCGCATACAAATCCAACTCGGCTTCCAATCCGATGATCTTCCAAAGCAAGATAATGGGATCTTCATATCATTTTTAATAGAAAACTATTTGTTGAAATCATACATGACAAAGCAGGAGGGAGAATCAAGCCACCTAGGTTAGATTAAAAAAAGAAGAAACGAATTAAGATTTTGCTTCCAAATCTAAAATAAATGGTTTGTATTGTATATTTTATTTCTTACCTTCTTGCCTACTCTTCTCTTCTAATCCTGCCTTTTCTTTCCTTTCCTTTCCCGCTTCCTTCGCCACCGAATGAAACTCGAAATGACCACCGGAGAGAAAATATTTTCTCTAACAATAAAATAGGTTTTCCCCTCATTAAACTCAAAGAGAAAAAGCTTTACGTGAGAGAACTTTCGGACTTTGAATAATAATCCACTTTAATGCTCAGTGGGCATAGCAATAATGATTAGGGGTTTTTACATACATAACACCCAAAAGTATCTTATTTACTTATCTAACATCTAAGCTTGTGTATTTACAGTTATACCACCTAAAACATGTTTTGGCTTTCTAAAATATCACTCCATTCTACTACAGTCAAAACCACATCGCGAAAACATCCTCTCATGCATGGGAAACAGAGCAGCTCTCTCACATTGTGATGTAGGCAGGGGGGGGGGGGGGGGGAAAAAAAAAAAAAAAAAAAAATTCTTAAAAAAAAAAAAAAAAAAAAAATTAGTTTTGACTTCCCTTGAACTTGCTAGCTCAATAAATTTTGAGCTAAGATTTAGCTTATTATGAGCCGGTTTTTAGTTCATTTTTGAACTAAAAGTTAGCTCATTATTAGCTAAGTTTTAGTTCATTTATTATCTTATTTATGAAGTTTTTTTATTTATAGTTTTATCTCTTAAAATTCTGAGTTTGTCCCTTAGGATTCCAAAATGGCTTTTGGATTTCCTATGTTTGTTGTTTTCCGTGCTTGGCTCCTTGGCTTCCTCAGTTAGCTGCTGGGTGACCTATCCCGTGCTTTGGCGCCTCGGTTCCGTGCGAGCCTCTTGGTTTCCGCTGCTGCCTCTTCGGGTTCCTGTCTGGGCTGTTTCCCGTGGCTGTTTGGGGGCTTTTCCGTGGCTTTGATGCTTTGTTGACTATTGGCTTTTCATCTCCCTCATTTAATATAGAATATGAAGAGTTTTGAGCTGTTGGTATTCTCCTCTTATGCCTATATATAGAGTTGCTTTGGGATGTTATAAAAAAAAAGATGTATGTGAATTTTTGGAAGGAAATTTGAGTGATTTTCTTGGAAGAGCTTGCGAGCTTATTCCACTTCTTCTTCTATCTCTTGGGGAGACTTACGAGTTCTTTCCACCCTTCTTCTCGGCTTCTAACCTCTTTCGTCTCTCCGCAAGTATCCACCTCACCTGTATCCTTCTTTTCAAAGAAATGTAACTTTAGGTTTTTGTCTTGTTTGTGTCGTTTGTAAGAGTCAATGTTTGTAAGTCTTTATTTTATATAAGTTTATTTTGTCTAATTTGTCATCTTTTTATGCTTTTCATATTATCTAGAAAGCTTTTATTTTGCTTGCAAAAATTTGGAGCCCTCTCCCAAATTTTTGCTTACATCATTTTTGGTATCAGAGCAGATTAGGAAGTCCTAGGCTTTTAAGTTGGTTTGTCAAGTAAGTCTTGTGAGTCAAGTCTTGTTATGTGAGTCTTGTGAGTCATAATTTTTTTAGGTTGAGTCTTTCTTTGATTCAAAGTTTTATTTAAGTCATTTAAATGGAAAAAAGACAAAAAGATTCAAGAAAGCAAACTAGAAGAAATTGAAGACCCACTTTTAATGGATAGATGGATTCCGTCAGAATCAACATATCCACTAGAGTATGAGTTGTACAAACTTCAATCATGAATGCATTTGTGTACTGAAAGATACATGAAGAAGAAGCAACATTTACAAGATCAGTTTCTGCAAGAACGAGAAGAGATCCTGAAGAAATATGAAGCTAAGCTTCAAGAGTTGGATGCTTTGTCTTCGCCTCCTCAAAAGAAAGCAAAGTTAACTCATCGGGAAATGAGTCCTCAAGAAGGGGAGTCTGATGTAGGCAAGGGGGGTCAAATCAAACCAAAAAAAATTTGGTTTTGACTTCCCTTGAACTTGCTAGCTCAATAAATTTTGAGCTAAGATTTAGCTCATTATGAGCCGATTTTTAGTTCATTTTTTGAACTAAAAGCTAGCTCATTATTAGCTAGGTTTTAGTTCATTTATTATCTTATTTATGTAGCTTTTTTATTTATAATTTTATCTCTTAAAATTCTGAGTTTGTCCCTTAGGATTCCAAAATGACTTTTGGATTTCCTATGTTGGCTGTTTTTCGTGCTTGGCTCCTTGGCTTCCTCGGTTGGCAGCTGGGTGGCCTTTCCCGTGCTTTGGTGCTTCGGTTCCGTGCGGGCCTCTTGGGTTTCCACGGCCGCCTCTTCGGGTTTCTGGCTGGGCTGTTTCCCGTGGCTATTTGGGGGCTTTTCCGTGGCTTTGATGCTTTGTTGACTATTGGCTTTTCATCTGCCTCATTTAATATATAATATGAAGAGTTTTGGGCTGTTGGTATTCTCCTTTTATGCCTATATATAGAGTTGCTTTGGGATGTTATAAAAAAAAGATGTATGTGAATTTTTGGAAGGAAATCTAAGTGATTTTCTTGGAAGAGCTTGCGAGCTTGTTCCACTTCTTCTTCTATCTCTTGGGGAGACTTGCGAGTTCTTTCTACCCTTCTTCTCGGCTTCTAACCTCTTTCGTCTCTCCGCAAGTATCCACCTCACATGTATCCTTCTTCTAAAAGAAATGCAACTTTAGGTGTTTGTCTTGTTTGTGTCATTTGTAAGAGTCAATGTTTGTAAGTCTTTATTTTATATAAGTAAAGTTTATTTTGTCTAATTTGTCTTCTTTTTATGCTTTTCATATTATCTAGAAAGCTTTTATTTTGCTTGCAAAAATTTAGGGCCCTCTCCCAATTTTTTGCTTGCATCACATTGCCTACAACTCTCTCATCTCGTGTTGCCTCCATCTCTTTCACGTTGCAGCTCACCTTCCTTCCTTCCCATTGGACCGACGCCAGTGCAGATGTCCTATCAGTTTATTTTTGGCCGCCAATTCTATTCAGGTAAACCCCTTTCTTTATTTAGGGTTGGCAGCCGGTTCATTATTCAGATTGAAGATTATACATAAAGGAAAAAAAAATGTTTGAACTTATTCTAGTTCTGTATGGGCCTACCTGTAAAGAGGTCATATCCAGAGGAGAAGACTATTGATGATGTATGATGCAGCGGCTACAATGTATAGAAAGGAGAAATCTGGGAAGTAAAACAATAGAACAATAACAGGCTTGAGAGCCTCTGTAATATTCAATATATGATGAAAAAACTAAAACAGTCTCTACCTTTCTCCAGGTTCATAAAATTAAGGCTAAGCTACTAAAAGAAAATACTTAATTAAAAGAAACAACTGAAATGCAAAAGCTGTGCTAAGCATAACAGAAATGTCAGGGAATAAGAAGTAGTGTCTGGCAGAGTAAATAGTGCGCCAGAAATTTCCCCAAAAAAAAGTAGTCCGCCAGAGTAATTAGACTAAACCGATGTCCTCATCAATGTAGATGACATTTGCTTGAGCTGTTTTACGTTTTTTTTTTCTTGATGATGTGGTCTGCTGGAGTTCTATTTTCTGGATGCATTTTCTTGCAAATGTTACTGATGAGTTGCATGTGGAAACACGGGATCAGACCACTTACTGTGTTTGGATCACAATTGTGATTATTATAGTACAAGAATACATGAATTTTAACTTATTTAAGTTTGCTAATAACTTTAATGATCGACTAATTTCGTGCATTTTTCAATCTTATTTCTGAATGAGATAACTATTGCCATTTTATTTCGTATGCATATTGGGCTGCAGAGAAGAACAGGGAGGAGTAAAAGAGATAAATGGGGAGAGTTCACCTGCAAGAAGGAGATCCGGCGTTTAGGGCAGGTCGGCGGTCTCGACTAGAGCTGGCAACCGGCGGTCTCGACTAGAGCTGAGAGCAGGCGGACGATGAGGTTTTGAGGGGAGTTTAAGACAGTGGTATTTTATTCATTTGAACGACGAGCTAACTTTTTTTTTTTCATTTAATCATTTTTGTAGAGTTGGAGTGGCACCAAGGACAAAAGCATCCTCGTCATCGGGCGTCAGGTAAAACCAATAGTCAATGTACGTGAGGCCCACGACTTTAACCTAAATATGGGGCACAAATCATTGATGTAAAAAAGAATCCTAAACTTTTTTTTCGTATAAGCTTGAAACCCGCATTGAAGTTCTTTTTTTTTTTAATCGTTAGTTTCATTGTACAGTCAAGTCATTGTCAATGCTATTAAATATATTATTCTTACAATTTTTAAAATAGTTTTTCGCAATTAAAGCTTCGTCTGGGATGTCTTTTTTGATGCTTATTAAAATAATTTTTGTACAAAAATTTGAATTTTTAGACTACAAAACTATTTTAAAAACTGTAAGAATAATATATTTAATAGCATTGACAATGAATTGACTGTAAAATGAAACTAACGATTTAAAAAAAAAATCGTCAATGCCGATTTCAAGCTAGGACGAAAAAAAACTTTAGGATTCTTTTTTACATCAATGATTTGTGCCCCCATATTTATGTTAAAGTCGTGGGCCCCACGTACATTGACTATTGGTTTTACCTGCCGCCCAATGACGAGGATGCTTTTGTCCTTGGTGGTGGAGGCGCGGCAGGTTCAGAGTAAGGGACAGCCACTCCAACTTTACAAAACTGATTAAATGAAAAAATAAAAATAAAGTTATTATTGCTCGTCGTTCAAATGAATAAAATACCACTGTCTTCTACTCCCGTCAGACCCTCATCGTCCGCCTGCTCTCAGCTCTAGTCGAGACCGCTGACCTGCCCTAGACGCCGGATCTCCTTCTTGCAGGTGAACTCTCCCCATTCATCTCTTTTCCTCCTCCCTGTCTGAAATTGTGTAGCTCAACTCCTAGGTTTAGAAGTTTTTTTTTTATTATTAAAATGGTTGAATGAAATAATAAAGTTTTGGTTTCAATAGAAATTGGAAACCGGATAACGAAGTTCTAGTTTCTATTAAAATCGAATAATTAAAGTTATTATTTGATCTTTTTTTTTTCCTGACATGTTCCATAAGCTAATTTAAATTTAAAACTTGCTCCTTTTTTATAAATTTGCCTTATTTAAATTATATAATAATAATAATATAATATGAATGATGACAATATTTCAAAAGAAGTTGGAACTATTGTTTGGTTGGAAGGCTTGATGTTGTTATTAGGATTTGTTTTACTCTCAGCCCTTTTCAGGGGTTTTTTGGGGAGTTTATTCTTCAGGTTCTTGTCTATGAAGCCTATTTATGTATGATTGTTTTGCTGTTGGAGCTGAAGTTCCTGTTTAGGAGTTTTTGTTGATGTTTGCTAGGTATTTTGTGCTTAGTTTACATCTTTTATTGACTATTTGATGGTTGTTCTTGATAGAATTTTCTCCATTTATTTTCTTTTTTCTTTCCTCCTAGTTATTAGGAGTTTTTCATTTTTTTTTCTTTTGCATCTGTTTATTTTTTGGAATGAAATGGGACATATTTGCCCCTATTTCCCAAAAAAAAAAAATTTAAAAAAATACATTTCTTTAAAGTCGTGGGCCCCACGCACGTGGGAATTAAGTTCTTTTTATCTGTAGCCCCAGGACAGAAAAGTCGTCTTCGGCTTTTATAATGTTTTGTCCTTGGTAATGGGAGGCGCGAAGGGTTCATGATATTTGTAGAAGAGTCTTCTGTTGGCGAATTTAGGTTAGGAATGGTCAAATTGGGATTGCTAGTGCGATAAGCAATGAGAGCAGGCATTTTATCATAAATTATATTAAAACTAAATATATGTGACAAATTATGACTTAATGAAGATCAGATAAATTAAAAATATTCTAATTATATCTTCTTTAAGTAGATTCAATACATATTAAAAATTTTAAAGAGATTTTTACATACCTAACACTTAAAAGTTCGCTATTTACTCCTATAACACTTAAACTTGCATATTTACACTCATACCACCGAAAACCAACTTTGCTCTCTAAAATACCATTCCGTCACTATTCCGTCTCCCAGATCGTGAAAATCCTCCCGCAAACCTTCCGCATTGTTATTTCTTCGCAAGAAACTCCATTTCCTTCTCTCTCCTTCCGGCCGCCAGTCATAGTCGACGCCGCCGACGTGCTCTAGCCTCCGGATCTCAAACATAGCAACGGATCTCTTTCCATAGCAAGGTGAACTCTCTCTTTTCCTCCTCTCGATTCTTCTTTCCATAGCAACGGATCTCTTCCTAATCATTCCTAATTTTTTGTGTTTTGCTGCTTGTTCCTAAAGTTCTTCCTAATCAGCCGTAAAGTTATAGCATTTTCATCATTTATAATTAATGTATGTAAGTTGTTTGATAAAATGCCACTAAGAAAACAAAATGAATCCTCATCCTATATAGTACAGTTTTGAGGCAAGATATAATTTCTCATTGTCTCTTTTCATGTTTGTTGTTTAATGGAAACTTTGTTTAAAATGGAAAAACAATTTCATAGACATTTTTTTAAGTTTGCTGTAGTTTGTATATGCTTTAATTAACTACATTTACCTATTTGAATTTGGTAGCAACAAATTAATATCAGCTTTCTCGAACCTCAAAGTTTTCTGAGCTCCACCTTCATATTTTAATCTGCTTTGGCCCTTCACATTAACCCAATAACCTCCATATTTAAGGATAATAGATAACAAATTATTGAATTCCATTTTCTGCGAATCCAGTCATTAATGAAAAAAACTTAATTAAAATGATAAAATATAGGCAAAAAGAAGCAGGAAAAGCGGGAACAAAATGACAGGAGAAACAGAACGGCGGAGCAACAGAAGGGCGGAGAAACAGAACTTGAAAAAAAATTAAGTTCAAATAAAATATTCTCTATAATCGTCAACCTAAAAGATTAATCCTTTACCAAATTGAAAAAAACTATTACCTGAATATGGAACGGCAGAGAAACAGAACTTCAAATGAGAAACAGAACTTGAAATGATTTTGGATTGCCTGAGTATGAAATGGCAGCCAAATGAGCAAATGATGTTTGCACCGGCCAGAGAAACATAACTTCAAATGAGAAACAGAACTTGAAATGATTTTGGATTACCTGAATATGGAACGACGACCAAATGAGCAAATGCTACGTTTGCATTGGCCAGAGAAACAGAACTTGAAATAATTTTGGAGATGTATTCGTATATTAGCTCCGGCAGGATGTTTGCACCGAAGTCGGACGAGAGAGCTACAGGAAATGCAAGAGCTTTTCCTGATTTTTCCCGCGCGCCAAAAGTCGCGACTTGGCTTTGACGGGGGTAGACGGAGTGCTAGGTTTGATGAGGGAGTAAGTACTACGGTGGTATAACAGTAAAAATAAAAGTTTACATGTTTAATACGTAAATAGCGAACTTTTAAGTGTTAGGTATGTAAAAATCCCAATTTTAAAATAAGAGGAAGACTCGCAGGAAGTCCCCGGCAATTTTATCCAGTTTGGTCTGCTGCCGGCGCGATGGCTGCCGGAGCTGAGGAAGACGCTACTGTAGCGCTTGCTAGTGTAGCTTCTGTTAATAATAACAATCAAAGAACCAAAAAAAAAAAAAAAGCCGCTGGCGGTGCTACCGTCCTTGGTCTTGCAGAGAAGACCTAGGGCACGGGAAAGGCATGGCAGAAGAAAGAGTATAGCGAGAAGGAGAGTGGAGAGGCATCAGTACCTGCTAGAACGAAGAAGAGGCGACGGCGTTGGAGAAGCTTTCACGCGGGGAAAAGGACAGGCTCGCCGAGAGCCCGAGATCGGGGTGGGGTTTTGACGGGAACTGATCGAGCTGTAAAGCTTGGGGCTGTTTAGCAAGCAACATGATTTATAATTTGTTTCACTCGTTGTTTGTCAACTCATGTGACCTGGAGGTGGACGGCGACATTCCACCTATGTCACCAAATCAGCAGGACATTCGTTAGTTATATAGTGATAGTTATTATTATTTAATTATTAGTTTATAAGTTTATATAAAATTTAAAAAGTTTTTAATATAAAATTATAACATTTTCTAAATTTATTATATCTAAATTTATTATATAAAGATATAACAATTTATAAAAAATATATATTCGGTTTCTTTAAGAAACAGGATTTAAAATCCTATTTTTTAAAGAAATCGGATTAAGGAATTCTGATTTTTTAAGAAACCATAATTTAATGTCCGGTTTCTTTTGAAATCCCAATCAAAGTAGAAACATAACAATGAAATTCCGATTTCAATATAAAATCTAAATCGGATAATTAAGTTTCGTATTTGCTCCTTTTTAAAAGTTTTCATTGAGTCGCTCCTTAAACTAATTAAAACTTAATCCGAGCTCCTTTTTATAAAATGCCCTATCACAATATAACTAATGAAAGTCCTGTTGGTTGGGTAACGTAGTTGGAATGTCTCCGTCCACCTCCATGTCACATAAGTTGACAAACAACGAGTGAAACAAATTATAAGTCCTGTTGGTTGCCAAACAACCCCTAAGCTTTACAGCTCTGTTCCTGACAAAACCCCACCCCGATCTCAACGAGATGGTTCTTTTCCCCGCGTGAAAGCTTCTCTGATGTCCGTCGCCTCTTCTTCACTCGAGCATTATACTGACTAATCCACCCGTTGTTGCCATCTTCATTAATATACTACAAGTCAAATGTCCTGAATATTTATTAAAGGTATTTAGAATTTAAAATAAATATTATAAATCAATCCCTCGTTATTTTATTCATAATAAAATATTATTGCTAGATAATAAAAAGTATAGGGTTTTATTAGATATTTTACAATCATCATAAAATTTGTTGATTAAGGGTTAATTTGTTATTATTACTTTTACTACTTATTAGTACAAAATTTTTTAATTCAAAAAAAAAATTGAACTAAAAAGTTGCTTTAAAAATTAACAAAAAAACTACCTCAAACGAAGCTTAAAACTTATATTATTGTTGTATTTATATAACCTTAATTTCTATTTATTTCAATTATATAATAATAATAATAATAATATAACATGAATGGTGACAATATTTTAGAAAAAGTTAAGATATCTGGATTGACTTATGATCTAGGTAGATCCTAAAGTCTGACTTCTAGAAGGGTCCTAAAGGTCTAGAGTAGATCCTAAGGTATGAGATCTAGAAGGATCCTAGGACCTAGAATAGATCCTAAGGTCAGGATTCTAGGAGGATCCTAGAGTTTGAATTGATTTGGAAATTGAATTGGTTTAGGGTCAAGATTGGTCCAAGTGACCTCATACAAAAATGAGGTCAACAGTGGAGTTAATCCATTATTTTTCATGAAGCTTGTGACTGAGCACAACCCATAGAATTGGAATCCATACTTAGTCATTCACTTTCTTTAGAGCATCATTCTTATGCAAGTTTGCAAAACTCAACTATAAGATAGTATCTACTCATTGGAACCACAAGTCATCATGGAAGAATAATTAACTTGATCTCTCTCCCTCCTAACAATGACATTTTACTCACCTATCTTCCTCATGCAATCTAACTTCTTATATATATTTCGTCAACAACAACAACAGAAAGTCTAGTTGTCACAGGTCCCTTCATCTTAACACTCACTCACCAGCTCACCTAAGATAATTTATTTACTCAACTATATTGAGCTCATTGAATGACTAACCACTAGAGCTCATCCAATCTAACCATCCTTAATCAAATAATAGGATTGCACATACCAAGGATATACTGCATTGCATTTAATGTGTGTTTTGTATATCACTTTATTTTTTACCTTTCTAGTTTAACCATTCCAATAGCCCATAAAACACTATGAATAGAGGGTAATAAAGAATAATTTGAAACATGGATGATTGATTCAAGTAAATTTTATGCTAGTTTAAGTTCATTGTTATGGGAAGATATATTCACACTAATTCAACTTGCTCTCCCATTGAGTAGCATACCATCTTGAGAAATTAATATGACATTCTATAATTGATTTCTAGATAAAAATAATCTTTAGAAAAATACATTTTCTATATTTAAACATATTTCAAATTTTGACATGTCATCTTGAGAAATAACTATGAAATTCTATGGAAAGTGTTTGAAAATAGAAATACGTTTTTGAATTGTCATCCTTGTAATCAAACATATCACAAAGAATAGTATATCATAAGAAATGATGAATAAAATATTCCATAAGGTGTTTAAGAACTAGGATAATTTTTAGGAAAATATATTTTTTTCTACTATGAAATAAAGTATATAGAATATCACATTATCTTAATAATTAATGATGATGTTCTAACATTGCATTAAAATTAAAAATGGGTTTTGAAAAGACCATAAATGTTCCTTGATATTTTTCATTTTTTTATAACAATAAAATATTTTATTTTAACACGGTGTTCTCAATTCTCTATAAGTACAGTCACTATGGTTAATTACAACTTAAGGGAGGTATTGTAAAGAAAACTCTTGATTAAAATTGTTATTCATATTCTTTAATTTAAAAAAAAAAGGATATAATTGGGAATATCCAATGGAGGAGACTCAACATTGACTAATTCTTATGAAGTCAAACAAAAAAAGTACAGGACACTAGATTTTGAGAAGTTCAAAAATAACCTGAGTTTATCCTACATTGGGATTTATAATTTAAGAAGAAATTTATTATTTAAATTGAAATTTTATAAGAAATGTGGGATTATATATTTGGATGGTGAGGATTTATTAATTTAGGTCAACATAAAAACCTAAAACTAAAATGATTCACTGCAAAGTTGCAACTCAAACATAGTATAAAGGAAAGCAGGCTTGGGAAATAGGCCTATAACTCAGTAATTATTTTAAAGCCATGATACGAGCTTAATATAGAGCAAGATAAGTGAGTTGTTATTATTATTTAATTTTTAGGAAGTGTTGTTGACATCTAGGAAATCTAAAATGTATTTTAAGTAGGAATGGTGGATTATTATTTCTGATTCTTTTAATTTATTTCTAATGCAATATTTGCTTTTGAATGTATGCTATAAATCAAATGTGAAGTTTTTAAAGGGCTAAGAAAATAGGTCTTATCATAAAAGTGAAAAACACCCATGTGATAGAACTGCTCGGGCGATTCTCTTCTACATGTAGGTCGGGAGGTTCCTAAAAGGGAATGGAAGAATTTAATATAAATATGAGATCATACATGATTCTCTATTTATTTTTAGCATGCTTATCTTGCTATGTTTTTAAGCCTAAATTTTATTAGCTAATTATGAGTAAAATTATTTTTAAGTCCTAATGGGCTAAAAAAAATCTTGAAAAACATTATATGCAAAAATAATCTTAAACATTATAAGTGTTCTAGTGCACACATAAATGAAACACACCGAAGAAATGAATAACTAAATAAAGTGTAATGTCCAATGTGTTTAGTTCCACATAATACAAACCAATGTCTATAGAAAGTAAATGTGCTCAGGCTCTACTAACAATAACACTAGTTCTAAATTAATGAATGATACAAATATTTTTTTTTTGGGGGGAATTTTAAGGGCAGAGCCCGTATATTAAAGAAAGTAAAAAAGAGGTGAAAACCTCTAGTTACAAGGCAGCTCAAAGGAGCAGACAGAAAAAGCTATACCATTGGCAAAAAACAAAATCTAGTGGAAAATAAAAACAAAACTTCCAACTAGCAAAGGTATAGAAAAAGGAATTGAACATAAGACATCAAACAGCAGGCAGCAAAACTCGTTGAAGTCGCAGGAAGCAGAAGGAAGAGCAACCAATCGTCAAAAATCCACAGGCAAGAGATCTTCATATCGCCATTGAACCTGCCAAGACCAGAAAACAGGTAGACAGCAAAGCAGAAACAGTCCAGTTAAGCTGGATACCAGGACTCAGTATGCAGAGAATGTCATTTTGATTTCCAGCCCACCGCCCCTGGTTGCTAGAAAGCCATCCAAGGGGCACCTGATTGCAAGGAACATCATCGTCCATGGTGAAAAACCCCCATCAGGTTTTGTCAAACACATTCGTTCCCGCCTCAAAGGAGAGCCAGCAGATTTTCCACATTTTTCCATTTGGTGATTTTGGTAATAACCACATGCTTAATTTTATGAACAACAGAGATAGCACAATGGTTGCTGAAAGCATATCTTCTCTCATTCCTTTCCTTCCAGATGTAGTAAATTGAGCAACAAATGATGAGATAGTAGAAGCATTTTGTGTCTTTAGAAATGTTTTGAATATCAGATATCCATTCCAGAATATGCAAAATATTAGGCCTAAGCAAAAGGGCAGAAGTGCCCGGAATTAGAGTCAGCAGGACCTCATTCGAGTAATTACATTCAAAAAATAAATGTGAGGTACTTTCAGGATGTGAATGGCAAAGAGGGCACACTTGGTCGATCTGAATATTTCTCAAATTTAAAGCATCTGCCGTTTTAAGCCCACCAACTAAAGATAACCAAGCCATGGTAGAGAACCTGAGCACATACTTACTATGCCAAATGTATTTATACCAAGAACATATGGGAAGGTCTTGATAGTATTTGAAAAGGAATTTGGAAAATTTACCATCAGTATTGTCTTCCCAGAAAATGTTGCTAGTAGTAGACTGTAAAATGGTAGTGCCACGAATGATGTTAGCAGTAGCATCAGGGATATATTGTGGGATGGACCATTGGTTACCAACAATAAGCGCCGACAGTTTGGCATTAGAGCCAAAAGTTTGTAACAAAGCATTGCCACCAATATAATTAGAAATTGAGGAGTTATTACACCAATGGTCCCAAAATAGGGAAATATTAGAAGAGGCATTGACCTTAAAAAGAAAAGAAGATCTAGCCAACTCAGCAGATTTGCATAAGCATTTCCAGAAAGGAGAAGCAGAGTCCGAGCAAGGCTTCCATGGTGAGTGATATCTCAAAGAGAACCAGCTAGATAGGAGGGAAGAGCAATTGTAAAACCTGCTGATGATAGAACAATTGAAGGCAAAAATAATAGCAGGGATAGACGGCAATCCCAAACCACCAAAATACTTAGGCCTACAAACTTTTGGAGGATGATACAAATATTTTAACAAAAATAAATTTGTTTTTTTTTATCTATATTCTAGTCTTCTACCTGCGATCATCCTCCAAAAAGACTTCCAAAAGAAAGAATCCACCAAAAGGGGAAGAAATTTCCATACTTTTAGTTTCTTAAAAATAACCAATTTCAATAAATACATTCACAAATGTTAAGTTTAAGTTACATTTTTAAAATGAAAAAAACACCCTAACTACTCCATACATGGTTATTACAAAAAGAAATATATAAAAAATAATACTGTAAGTGGGCTATTCTTTTAAAGATTAAGGGGCTAAGACTATGTAGCACCTTAATAAAATTTAAATAGTTTTAAAATTAACATTTTAAAACCCCTTTTTATCCCTGCATAAACATCGCCACTTGCAAAAGACAAGGTTAGCACTGTAAGCTTCATGACCACTCTATTTCTATGTTAATATAAGTGGTCATAATAAATCAAAACTCATCACAAAGTATATGAAACCCTTGCACAATAATCAACAACACACATTTAACATGAAGGATGTAAATTTCATAAGTCACAACTATGCAGAAATAAATAATCACAACGTTCCACCTCTCTAACCTAAAGCTAGAATCCATTACCCTATCAAACAATTCTAAGTGTTTGCAAGGTTATGTGACTTGGTTAAGTCCTAAAAGGGGTTAATAATTTATTAATTATGATTTAAGATTTGTTTTAGGCTAAGTAGTTTAATTGAAGTTTAAGTTTTAATGTGTTTATATTTCTTATAATATTAAAT